GCTGCAAACTATGAACTGGATTTCCTGAATGTGAGGCGGGTCTTATTACTCTGGGTTCATGAGACACGCCTCGGTTCAGGAAATCCATTCCGTAGTTTGAAGCCAACTTGCATCATGGATCGGAAATACAGCAGATGGATCGGAAAAATCCGATACGTAAATTATGCTGGTATCGGAGGCCAATACTGATACTGGATCGAATCGGCCCCATCCCTAATACAGACCCTTTCCAAAAAATTTGAATATCATGGAAAGGTTGTTTAACTTTCATAATTCCATTCAAAAAGTTGATCTTTATTAGATGATAGATTCAGGCCCACAATTTAAATGATTTCAAGTATTTACTTGTTTATTTTTACATAATTTGAGCTTCCAGCTTATGAAACCCACAAAAACAGGATTTCAAAAAATTAGAGTACTGTGGAGAAATCAGCCCAAATTTTGCAGAGCATGGCTGTTTTAAACTGAGTGTGACACTAATCATCAACTAAACTCAAAGCACCTGCACCGGTTTCTCCGGTGTCATTAAATTGCTTCAGTTTGGTTCAATTGTCTCAGTTCGGTTCAATAAGGGGAAGACTGCAGACGTAACAACTGACCAGAAGCCCATCATTGATGCCCTCCATAGGATGGGTAAGACCCACAAAAGTTCATAGCTAAGGAGGCTGGCTGTTCACAGAGTGCTGTGTCCTAGCATATCAATGGAAAGTCTAGTGGAAGGGCAAAATGTGGCAGGAGAAGATGCACCAGCAACAGAGATGACTGTGGGCTTCAGCGGATTATCAAACAGAGAAGATTCCAGAATCTGGCAGAGATCCAGAAAGAGTGGAACTGGGCCAAGGAGAAGGAGGACTGGACTGTTGGCCAGTGGTCCAATGTCCTTTTTTCTAATGAACGTAAAGTGTGCCTTTCATTCATAAATCAAGGTCCAAGGGTTTGGAGGAAGAAGGGTGATGAACAGAGCCCATACTGCTTGAAGTCCAGTGTGAAATATTCAGTCAGTCATGATGTGGGATGCAATGCAGGTGTTGGTAAACTCTGCTTTCTTAAATCCAAGGTCACTGCAACAGTCTACCAGAATGTTTTAGAGGACTTCACGATTCCTTCTAGGGGTGGGCGATATGGCTCAAATATAATATTGTGATATTTCAGAGCATTCTGACGATAATGATTAATTTAGTCATATAACCAAAAAAAAAAAAAAAACCAGCAATCGGTTTCATTTGACAAAATTAACTTAACGTGTTGCTTTGCAGTATTATATAAAAACTAAAAGAACAACAAGAGTTAATTTTTCTGAAATTACTTTTATTTAGTAAAGTATTCTGTCTCAAAGTATAAAAATAAAAATTATCCTTATTTAGATAGAAAAAGTCTGCACAAAATATAAATCAATTAGTCCACCACAAAAACTAAAGTGTAGGAGAAGTTTCCCAAAATAACTAAATAAAATTAAGCTTAAGATCTGATGAGCATAAATGTAACATTCAACAAAATATATGTTTTAAATGAGCTGTAACTCAGGAGCCAGGCAGCAGGAGAAATCCCACACAAGACAGGCTCTAGAGCAATGTGGATATCCTAACTGGGCCTTCCTGAAAGCAGAGAAGAAACCCAAACAGGACTCCAGTCAGCCAACAGGTGAAAAGGAGGAACCCAGACCCAGACCAGTGGTCATTCCATATGTTGAGGGAGTATCAGAGAAACTGAGACGTTTATTTTCTAAACATAACGTCCCAGTGGCTTTTAAACCCCAAAATACATTAAAGACTGGTTCATCCCAAAGATCCAGTCCCCCGGCACAAACAGAGTAATGTTGTGTATGCTGTTCAGTGTCAGGAGGGTGATCAGTCTTACATCAGGGAAACTAAACAGCCACTGGCCAAAAGGATGGACCAGCACAGAAGATCAACAACATCAGGCCAGGACTCTGCGGTCTACACTCATCTCCAGGCCAGCGGTCACTCTTTCAGGGATGAAGATGTTCACATCCTGGACAGAGAGGAACGATGGTTTGAGAGAGGAGTAAAGGAGGCCATCTTTGTGAAAAGAAACCGTCCATCATTAAACAGGGGTGGAGCCTCCGGGTTCAACTGTCCCCCTCTTACAATGCTGTGATTGCTAGTATCACTCAGCCCCCTGTGAACAGTAAACAGCCATCAGTGTGCTAATGACCCATTGTTAGGCTGATGGTCCTTCTTGAGCATGTGATCAGCTGGTTTTGGTTGTCAGCAGCAAACTGGTTGATCCACTCTGAGAAGGTGCTATTTAAGAGACTGAGCTGAATACAGCACCTCAGACTGAGGAAGTCTCTCGGATGAGAGACAAAACGTTTCTACATTTTTTATTTTATTTTTTTGTTTTGTTTTTTGAATGTTTAGAGGACCAGATTTAACTTTTTAGATGTTTCCCTCTAAACCAAGGGTGGGCAATTATTTTTTCCATGGGGCCACATGAGAAACAACAAATATTGTGGAGGGCTGGCACAAATGACTTTTTCATTCAACCTTTATTTAGACAGGTAAATCCCATTGAGCCTCGAGGACTCATTTACAAGAGAGACCTGATTTCAAGTTAACTCAATACTGCAGAATAGTATTTCATTATTAAAAGCAGTACATAGCACTGTTTTAACAAGCTGGTAAGAGTATTTGTTATGATTAAGCAACGAAAAAGCGAGGTTTCCTTAAAAAAATGTCATTTATTCAATTAAATTTCCCAGTACAATGGTAAACTGTTAAAATTTTTACCATTTGTGACGTTATATTAGTGATCATTTTCAGTCACATTCACCCCAAAACTCATTTTGAGTTTTATATACTGCTGGAAAAAGTTCTTAGCTTTGTAAATATATCACAATATTGTCTTTGTACTCCAAATATTATGAAACATCATATAATAGTGATCGTCACTGAACTGTGATTTCGAGTCCCGGTTCTTTACGTGCCTACGTTTGTAGTCTAAACATCTCATTTGGTGTTTATCAGTTCTTTTTTCTTGTTTAGTGAGAGAAGTCTAGTCTCTGTTGGGCTTTAACGGAAATGTTAAAGTCAGGTTGAAGGTCTGAGGTGGAGATGTGAAGCAAAGCTGACATCATCAGTGAGAGAGGATCTATATCTGGATTTGGTTAACTTCATTTGTTTACATATGTATTTTGTAATTCCCCTTACGGGGGCCGGTGAGAGTCAACCAAAGGGCCGCATGTGGCCCTGGGGCCGTACAATGCCCAGGTCTGCTCTAAACACTCGGGTGACGCGTGTCTGAATTACATGTCATAATTTCCCATCTATTCATTTTCACTAAGTGGTTATGCTTGAGATTACTTTTTTTGGGGCCCTGTGATGAATTTGCGACCTGTCCAGGGTGTACCCGCCCCTCGCACAGTGATTGCTGGACATGAGCACCAGCGACCCCCGTGACCCAAAATGGAAGAAGCGGGTAAAGATAATGGATGGATGAGAGGATTTCTGTTGGGACTTGGCGCTATATAAATCAACTGAACTGAATTAAATTTATATGTATTGGCTAGGGGTGCGAATCTCTGTCAGGTGATCCAATTCAATTCCGATTTTTGTTGTCACGATACGATTTAAAATCGGTTTTTCGATTCAGAAACTATTTTTCTATTGAAATGGTCATAAATTTTGTTTCAATTATGTAACTATCAAGCTGAAAAGATTAAACAAAGGGAACATTTATTTAAAAATCATCTTAGGTTCCTTACTGTATCAAATATTTTTTATTCATTTTATATTTATACCAAAAATAGGAAAAAATATAGGAGTGCATACAGTTCTGTAACTTAAATTACCAGTGTTAGGTTAGCTTAGTTGTCTGAATTTTTCCTCAAATAAATAAATAAAATAAAAATCTACAAAAAAAATTCATCCATCCATCATCTTTACCCACTTCTTCCTTTTTGAGTCACGGGGGTCACTGGTGCCCATATCAGCCATCACTGTGTGAGAGGCGGGGGACACCTGGACAGATGTCCAGTCCATCACAGACAAATAATTCAAAATATATAAATATAAAAGTAAACAGACTTCAGCCTACCATAGTATATTAAACT